ATCAGGGCCATAGACATAGTGGTTAGGGAGAAATCTTTCTTCTTTGTAGAGGTCTCAAAAACCGCCAGCACAGTTTTAAGGTAAAGAGCAGGAGGTGGACGGAATTTGAGGAAAAAAGTTTTCACGCAGAGGATGGTGACAATGTGGAACTCACTGCCTAAGAGGGTAGTAGAGGTAGGATCCCTCATCAAATTCAAGACGGATTTAGATGAGCACTTGAAATGTCATAGCAAAAGGCTAAGTGCTTGAAAACGGGATTAGAATAGATAGATGCTTGATAACCAGTGCAGACATGATGGGCTGAAGGGCCTCTTTCTGTGCTGTAAAATCTCTATGACTGTGAGATAAATTGGATCCTATTTTGGAATTCCTCTCAAATCTGCTCTGCCAATGATTTTCATTTGCCTTCTACCTCAACTCTACATTCTGATCCGTTCCCTACACACCTTCAGATCCAAAAAATCTATCCCCCTTTGCCTTGAATACATTCAATCCCTGAGCATTCACAGCTCTCACAGATACAGAATTCCAAACAATTTGTAAACCTTTGAGTGAAGCAATTTCCCTTCCTCAGTGATAGACTCTTTATTCAGGATCTTTAAATGCTGAACGTTAACATCTCAATCCAGCCTCTCAGCTTGTAAGGATTTCATCCTTTTCAATCAGATCACCTCTCATTCTTCCAAACACCAAAGGAATTCGACACATTTGGTCTTTTCTCCTAATGGCTTTGCTGATTTGCAGGTGACTGGAAGCAGAAGAGGTTCTCACATCAAGCAGATGTGATTTGTGTCCATTTTGATTATTGTCATTCCTCAGGGCCAATTCCTGATGGATTCTGCAGACCGTTTGCACCAACAGCAGGTATAAATGTGCTGGCAGGGACTTCACAAGAGCCAGGAGTCGGGAAAGTGATGCCAGAAAATATTTCATACTTAAGGATAAGTGGCAACATAGAATCATAGAATCCCTACAGTGTGGAAACAGGCCATTTGGCCCAACAAGTCCACACCGCCCCTCCGAAGAGCATCCCACTCAGACCCATTCCCCTATCCCTGCATTTCCCATGTTGAACCCAGCTAACCTAAACATCCCTGGGCACTATAGCATGGCCAATCCACCTAGCCTGCACATCTTTGGACTGCGGGAGGAAACCGGAGCAAACCCACGCAGACACGGGGAGAATGTGCAAACTCCACACAGACGGTCACCGGAGGCTGGAATCGAACCCGGGTCCCTGGCGCTGTGAGGCAGCAGTGCTAACCACTGTGCCACTGTGCCACCCCAAAGGTCAAATTGAGGGTCAAAGATTTGAGGGAAAAAGATAGAAGTCTATCGGGAAGGAAGAAAGTGGGGTGTGGGGGCAGACAGTAAAGGTAGTGAACAATACAATGGGTCAGAACCTGTATTGCTCTGATGGTGCTGTTACCTAGGGTGTGTGAGTAAAGAGTCCTTTACCCCTACATCCAGCTAAAAATTCAGGTGGTGCATACCCCTGTTCCTGGCAGCTGCCCCATCATCTTTTGTTTAATTCTCTGATGGGTTGTGGGCATCATTGACTGGGCCAACATTTATTGCCCGTCCATAGTTGCCCTTGAGAAGGTGGTGGTGAGCTGTCTTCTTGAACCGCTGCTGTAGGTTAACCCACAATGCCATTAGAAAGGTAGTTACAGGATTTTGACCCGGTGTGGTGAGCTGGCTTCTTGAACCACTGCAGTACTTTTGGTGTAGGAAGACACATAATGTCATGAGGGAGGGAGTTACAGATTTTGGATCCAGTGATACTACGGAACGTGGATATATTTCCAAGTCAAGATGGTGAGTGGCTTGGAGGGGAACTTGAAGGCGGTGGTGTTCCCATGTATTGATTAGCCTTGTCCTTTTAGATGGTCATGGGTTTGGAAGGTTGTCTCTAAGGAGCCTTGGTAAATTTCTGCAGTACATCTTGTGGATAGTACACACTGCTGCTACTGAGCATGGTGGTGGGGGAATTGAATGTTGTGGATGTGGTGCCTTTCAAATGGGCTGCTTTGTCCTGGACGGTGTCAAGCTTCTTGAGTTTTGTTGGAGCTGCACCCATCTAGGCAAGTGGGGAGTATTCCATCACATTCCAGATTTATGCTTTGGGGAGAAAGGAAGTGAGTTACTCTCAGCAAGTTTCCAAGCCTCTGACCTGGTCTTGTAGCCACAGTATTGATATGGTCAGCTCAATTCAGTTTCTGATCCATGGTAACCCCCATGATGTTGATAGTGGGGGATTCATTGATAGTAATACCATTGATGCCAAGGGATGATGGTTAGATTCTCTCTTGTTGAAAGTGATCATTGCCTGGCATTTTGTGACACAAATTTAACAGCCAATTGGATGATACTTGGCTTGAGGTGGGACTCCCATCCACAGAAACAGAAATTCCTACCTAAGAAAGCTGCCAATTAATCAGAGACCTGTAGCTGTGCAGTGTTGACAGCACCACCGAGTGTGCTGGCCACTGACAGTACTGCAGTGAGGGCTTCAGCGTGAGCCTAGACTGGAGATGTGTCCAACAACAGGAGTGCATTGGGTTTGTGGACTGAGGTAGACAGGCCACAAGAGAGGAGGAGTCTTTGGTTGGTGGGATGGGTTTTGTTGTGGGATTGGGGGGGTGGTATTGCGTCTTGTGAGCCATGTCAGACAATCCTTCATCTTAGACTCGACTTCATACAATCTTACTGCACAAGAAGGTCACTTAGCCAATTCTGCCTGTACCAGTTCTTTGACTCGTCCTATCTGTCACATTTCTATGCTTAAACAAGAGGATGGTGGCTCACACAAGAACCGACGGTCAGCTCAGAAATTCTATTGATTGGAGAAGGTCACCCTGTGTTCAAGAGGACAGGAAGACAGCAGGGAAAGAGAAATTCCTGACTTAGTGACTCACACTGTGGGCTCTGCTTGAGAATGTCTCACGGCCATATTGTTCTGCGTTTGTCAGCAGAGCTGAGTGGAGCACAGAAGGTTGCAATAAGACAATGGTTCTTCAGAACCCTTTGCACTTCTGTCATGAGGAGGTAGTTAGACAGATTTGGGAGGTGTAAAACAACAGTTGGGGGGTGTAAAACAGCAGATTGTGAATTGGCCATCCACCCCATCACGCACCAGAGTAAATATTCCTCCCCATTGCCATCAATGGGAAATCTCAGGAGGCTGGAGGGGGCCTATACATTGCATAATGGGAGACGCTGACCCAGTGGTAACCTTTTGGACTGGGTAATCCAGACGGTCCAGGCTAATGCTCTGGGAAGGTGGGTTCAAATTCTACCAGCTGGTGAGCTTGAAATTCACTTTTAAAAATCAACCTTATTTCTGAAATGGTGAGTATGACAACTATTAATTTGGGAAGAAAATCTGCCATCCTTACCCAGTGTGGGCTACACATGATTGCAGACTCTCAGTAGTGGGGTTGACTTCTAACTGTCCCCAGGAATGGCCCAGCAAGCCACTTAGTGCAAGGGCAATTAAGGATGGGCAACAAATGATGATCCGGCCAATGTGTTTGGTTAGACCGCACCACCTTGTGCAGTTTTGGTCTCCTTATCTCAGGAAAGATATTCAGGGATTTGTTCCAGGGATGGCAGGACTGGTCTACGAAGTGAGATTGGGCAAAGTGGATCTGTATTCTCTAGAGTTTTGAAAAATGAGAGAAAATCTAACTGAAGCTTACAAAATACTTAAAGGGACAGGCAGGGTAGATGCAGATAAGATGTTTCACTTGGTTGAAGAATCCAGAACCAGGAAGCACCTTTTCAAAATAAGGCCAATGCCCCACTTGGATCTGGGATGAGGAGAATTTTTGTTTACTCTGAGGTTGTGAACTTTTGGAATGATCTGCTTCAGAGATCTTCGGAAGCTCAGTCTTTGTGTATGTTTATGGTATAGATTGATAGATTTCTGATTACCAGTTTCATAAAGGTTTATGGGGATAGTGTGGGTAAAAGACATTGAAGTGTTCGATCAGCCATGATAGCATTGAATGGTAGGGCAAGCTCAATGGGCTGAACGGCCTTCTAGCTTGGCTAGTAACTCCCAAGTCCCTTGAACAAATTGACTGGTCAAACACCCTTCAGTGAAGGATATGGACAACCAAAGTTTTTATTAACAACAAATTTCAGCTTCATGGGTCAGTATTATTTGTGCCAGCGTTTTATAAAACTCATTTAAAATTTCCACACAACTGTAATAGAATTTGAATGAACTGATTGGGGTCTTCACATTTCTGTAACATAACCACCATATCATCAGACATGATATGATGAAATAAAGAGGGACTGCAAGGCGAGCCATCCTTTGTAAAGACAAGCTGGGTCCAGTTTGACTAATCAGTAAAGACACAAGAGCACTTCTGAAGAAGGGTCCAGACACAAAACGTCAGCCTTCCTGCTCCTCTGATGCTGCCTGGCCTGCTGTATTCATCCAGCTCGACACCTTGTTATCTCAGACTCCAGGATCGGCAGTTCCTACAATCTCAGAGCACTTATCTGTCGTGTTTAGCTCGGCACAAATTAGAGCTCTAATTAATGACAAAATTAATTTAAAAATAAAACTGAACAGTTTTCATTTTGATCCCTTTGTTCTCAAAGCATTCCAGTCTGTCCTGCCTACTGATGAACGAAGGCCTCAAGCACAAGGAGAATAATAAAACATCAAAGCACAGCTCTAGGAGAGAGGGATTGAACACCCGCATTGTGCTTGGGCCCATCAACTCCATCGCGGTCAAGCCCTTCGAGCTGTTCCTCCAGCCTAGCCCTCTCCCCTCGCTCAACATCAGATGGCCTTGCGGGGAGGAGCACGGAGACTGAAAAATACCCAGAGTAGCAGCCCTCTCATATCTTGGGAGAGTCACTGCACTGAGGCAAGCCCCTGACACTGCTGCTGGTCAAGGCACTTGATCATGAGGCAGTTCTGTACATGAGTGACCACCTCAGAAGTCAAAGTTGTAAGACATTTGTGAAAGGTAGCTTACATTAAGGTTTCTTAGATTCTTGAAGTCATTTTCTTTTATCTCTGTGATCTTGTTGTTCTGCAGATCAAGCAGTGTAGTATCTTTGGGAATGTCCTTGGGCACTGTGGTTAGACCTGTTTTAGGAGAAAAGTTGAAAGAAGTCACTTTTGGGTGTCTGCACCTCGTTTTTCAGACTTGCATCAGCTCAAGTGGTAGCTCTTTTGCCTCAGAGAGACAATTGGTGATTCAAGACTTTAGTCCAGACTGACACAAAATGAAGCGTTGTTTTGAAATGCAGACACCCTTGTAATCACAGAATTGTTAAAGTGCGGAAGAGGGTCATTTGGCTCATAATGTCTATACCATCTCCTTTTGGGCTCAGTGCCAAAATTCTGCCACTTTCCCATAATCCTGCACATTATTTTTATTTAAATAATTATCCAATGCCCCCTCGACTGCCTCAACTGTATTCAGGAATGCAGGAACTGTGGCTGACAATTTATGTGGAGCAAGCTCCCACAAATTATGATCAAATGGTGGAGCAGACTTGATAAGCCAAATAGGTTAATTCTGCTCCTATATCTTATGGTCAGCGATGTGATTTAGACCAGATGATTCGGCCTTCTCTTTCGTGCTTTTGAATGAGGGATCAGTGTCGGCTGGGAAACTGTGGAGGAAAGCCCTCATGCTCTTTCTTGAAGCATTATCATGAAATCACTTCCATCCACCAAAGTGAATCATAGAATCCCTGTAGTGTGGAAACAGGCCCTTCGGTCCAACAAGTCCACACTGACCCTCAGAGCATCCCACCCAGACCCATCCCCACTATAACCCACGCATCCCTGAACACTGCGGGCACTCTAGCATGGCCAATCCAGCTAACCTGCACATCTTTGGGCTGTAGGGAGGAAACCTGAGCACCCAGAGGAAACCCACACAGACACAGGGAGAATGTGCAAACGGCACACAGACAGTTGCCCGAGGGTGGAATCGAACCCTGCTGTGAAGCAGGAGTGCTAACCACTGAGCCACCATGGGGCAGGTGGGGCCTCCACTGAACATCTCACTCATAAGTCAACATCCCAAAAGTGCATTGGCAACATAAAGGGGTTGACTATGTCAAGGAGCATCAGGGCATTTCAACAGGTTTGGCGCTGACTGATATTTTAATGTAAAAATCAACTGGAAGAGTTGCTCTTACACCAAAACAATGCCATTTAGTTACAGGAAATTCAGAGCCTTGTGCAGAGGAAGGACATCAGTATTTATTCAGCAATGTGAAAGGCGAGACTAGGCAAAGGAATAAATTACAGCCTCAGGCAATCTAATTCTGCAGCTTCAATTTTCTCCACATCTGATTTCAGGATACACATTGTTGGAACGGGTTGATTTATTTCAGCTGTAAGCAAGCAGATGCTGCTAACACTCATATTATCAGCTCCTTTGTAACTTGCTGATACACAGAGCTGGGAGCGAATATTTGAGACCTGCCAGGTGACTGCTCTCACTTTGACACTTTTGCCTACTATATATTAATTTAAAAAAATTGTTTAACTGCAGAACCAGATCAGCATCTCTTCCCAACCCCCACCTTTCCTTTAGTCTCAGCAACTTAAAGCAAGCAAAGCTCATGTCCCAGTGCAAATTGCTCCTCTTATGGCAACATATAATTCACTTAATGTTATACAGATGCCCTGATGACATAGCCCCAGGATTGGAGGTCGAGTAGATCACTGACAAACACATGTAGTTCAATTGAAGGCACAAAAGAAATCTTACCGCACAGAAACAGGCTTTTGGAACAACTTGGCTGTGCCCAAACAAGCCATTAGGATCAGGGACAATTCAAGATGGCACTAAATGTTAGACTAACCAGCAATGTCCACATCACAAGAATGAATCAGAAAACAATATCAGTGCTTATTCCCCACATAAGGCTCGGCATGTCTTTCTACCTCTTTCACTTTTGTCTAAGTAACTGACTTCCCTTGAAATGAACACATGAAATTCACATGAACTACTCCTCATGGTAGTTAACCACTCTCTGAGTAGCAAAGTTTCACCTGAATTCCTCACTGCATTTACATAGTACACCATGGAAACCATTTGGCCCAACTAGTCCATGCTGGTTTTACGGTCCACACAAGCCTTCTTGAATTAAACTGTACCCATCGATTTCCTTCACTTTCAAATCTTTATCCAACTTCCTCCTAAATGCATCTGTATCATTCATTTCAAATAATCCCTGTGTAGAGATTCCACATTCTCACCACACTGTTTGGATAAAAAGACTTCTTCTGAGTTCCCAGTTGGATTTATTGTTGATCTCTGACTATGCTCTTCCCCACATGAGGATGTACTTGCTCAGATCTTACAAGCAATGGAAATCACTGTCATCCCCTAATCTTGGAAGACATCTTTAGAAATGAATAGTCCACATGAAAAACTCCACCATAGTGTCATAGAGTCAGGGGAAAGACAAGAAACCCCTCCTTTCTATGGCACTGGCTATGGGGAAATTGTGATTGGGAGAGGTAGTCCAATTGGGTTGGCAGAGTGGCAGACAGTGATTAGGATGGGTCACAGAAGCCCATTCAGGCATGAAAAGATTGGAGGTAGGTGGGATGGGTAGAGTTATTGGTGGGTCAGGGATTGGTCTGGTCAGGTTGGGGGAAGCAGTCAGGTAGTGGGGAGCTGTCTGGTCCAGATGCATTATAGGAGGGTACTGTGGTTGAGATAGGTACTTCAAATTGGGTTGGAGGTGGAATGGCAGATGTATGGGGGTCAGGTAGTAGGTTGGGAGCTCAGTTCTGGATGTTAGGCTAAGATTTTTCTGACAAGCATTTCTTGGGTAACAGAAATGTTCTAATAACTAAGTCAGAGCTGTTGGAAGTCTCAGTCCCTAGCTCAGGGTCAGAAACATTTGTGGAGGATCTTGGAAATGGCCCATTGGAAAATCAGATTTTCTCGGGAATCTTTACAGATTTCAGAACACTGGGACTTCCAATGAGCCTGATGCACGTCATCTCTTATCCAATTTATCAAAATTTTTCATTACCTTAAAGACCTCTATTAGGTCACGCCTTAGTCACCATTCTTCCAAAGAAAAGAAACGCAGCCTAGTAATTCCCCTCCATGTGTGTGTATCCACAGCTTTCTGGAATCAGTTATGTAAATCCTACCCACACTTTAATGCCTCTAATTACTTTTTGTAATATTACTATCCCCAGTTGTGGGGTGGAACAGTGGCTCAGTGATTAGTACTGCTGCCTCACAGCACCAAGGACTTGGGTTTGATTCCACCCTCAGATGACTGTGTGGAGCTTGCACATTCTCTCTGTGTGTGCGCGGGTTTCCTCCTCGTGCTCCAGTTTCCTCCCACAGTCCAAAGATGTGCAGGCTAGGTGGTCTGGCTGTGCTACCTTGCTCATAGTGCCCAGGGGTGTGCAGGTTAGGTGGGTTAGCCATGGGAAATGCAGTGTTATAGGGATAGGGTAGAGGGGTGGGTCTGGATGGGTGGTCGAGGGTCAGTATGCCGAATGGCCTGCATGGGGATTCTATGATTGGTTACTCAATTGAAATAATTGTGCAACTGTTACTCTCTCAAATGTTCTGAAATTCAAAACCTTCCCTGCGCACTACTGTAAATAAGTACAATTGAACCACAGCTCAACAAAGTTTTAGCATAACATTTCAATTCTATTGAAAAGTATCTCACATTTATGGCTACTAGCTTTGCACTCTAGTATGAGAGAAAAGACTTTCTCCATGTCAGCCCAGTCAAAGATCCCCTTCAGCATTTTAAAAGTTTGTCTTCTCTTTCCCAGAGGATAGAACTTCAGCTTGTTTAGATTTAATTACCTCAAATGATCTACAATCAAGTAGAACAGGGGGAGATGGTGGTTTAATGGTATCATCTCTAGGCTAGAAATCCAGAATTCCCAAGCTGATGTTCTGGCAACATGGGGTCAAATCCCACCATGGTAGGTGACAGAAATTAAAGTCTGGAATTAAAAGCTAGCCAAATAACAACCAATGTTAATTTTTGTAAAAATCTATCTAACACCCTGTAGAGAAGGGAAATCTGCTGTCTGTATGTGGTCTAGCCTACATGTGACATGCAACTATTAATTGGCCTTTGAAATGACCTGAGTAAACAATCCAATGTCAAGGGCAATTTGCGGTGGGTGAAAAGATACTAGATTTGCCAGTAATGTCCACATCCCATGAAATAATACAAAAGAATTGGGTGGACACTTGCTGACATAGCCACACATTATGATTGAGCAAACCATTCAGTTCTGACATGAAGAGATTCCTGGATGTTAACTATTTATCGGTGTTTGATTTGGAATAAGTTCAATTTCAATAAAAAACCAAAAATATTTAACTGTTACAAAAAGGAGCACAACAGTAACAGTTTTGGTCTCTGCAGATCCTTCATTCTATCTTTAATCCAGAGCCAGCTGTTTGTACGCAAAAGAAAGCTAAAGGAGAAAAGGCCAACACACTTAGGGGGAAGTTCTTGGTTGACACTAACTGAAGCTGCCTCGCATTTCCACAACAGTACAGGGGTCATATTCTGACCCATACCACTCTCAATCAAATCAAAGGGAAGGTTTTGAATTTCGGAATGTTTGAGAAAATAAATGTTGCATAATTATTTCCACTGGTTAGCCAAATGTGGATAGGAACAGTGATTGCTGATTCTCACTCCTCCAATTCTGACTCTCTATTGACCTTGTATTTCCTTCGCTCTAAACTGGCTCTGTGCTTTCAGTTGTCTGAACCCTACACTCTGGATTTTCCTCCACAAACACCTCTGTCCCCCTATCTCTCTTTCCTCCTTTAAGATACTCATTAAAACTTACCTCTTTGCAAAAGCTTCTTTTCATCTAGAATAATGGAATTTTGTCGTATAGGAGGAGGCCATTTCGCCCATTGTGTCTGTGCTGGCTCCTGAAAAAGCTACCCAGTTAGTCCCATTCTCCAGCTCTATCTCTGTAGCCCTCTAAATTCACCATTTTCAAATATATGTCCAGCTCTCTTTTGAATCCTCCACCTTCACCACTCTCCCAGGCAGCACATTCCAAATCCTAACCACTCTCTTAGTAAAGAGATTTCTCCTTCTCAC